CCTGGGTTCGGATCCCGGGCGCACACCGATGCTCCACTTGTCAGGCCATGCTGTGGCGGCATCCCATATAAAGTGGAGGAAGATGGGCACGGATGTTAACCCAGGGCCAGTCTTCCTAAAAAAAAAAGGAGGAGGATAGGCATGGATGTTAGCTCAGGGCTGATCTTCCTCACCAAAAAAAAAAAAAAAAAAAAAAAATTACCATATGATTCAGCAATTCCACTTCTGGGTATATACACAAAATAAGGGAAAGCAGGGGCTTAACAGATATTTTTATACTTATATTTATAGCAGCATTATTCACAATAGCCAAAAGGTGGAAGCAACCCAAGTATCCATCAATGGATGAATGGATAAACAAAATGTGGTATATACATGCAATGGATATTACTCAGCCTCAAATGGAGGGACATTCTGACACATGCTACAACATGGATGAACCTTGAAGACATTATGCTAAGTGAAATAAGCCAGTCACAAAAGGCCACATATGGTTTGCTTCCATTTATATGAAATATCCACAATAGGTAAATCCATAGAGACAGAAAGCAGATTAATAGTTGCCGGGGCTGGGGTGAAGGATGAGTGGAGATTGAATGCTTAATGGTATGAGGTACAATTCCACAACATTGTGAATGTACTAAATACTACCAAACTGTATACTTAAAAATAGTTAAAAGGGAGCTGGCCTGGTGGCATAGTAGTTAAGTTCGCATGTTCTTCTTCGGCAGCCTGGGGTTGGCGGTGGGATCCCGGGTGCAGACCTACACACTGCTCATCAAGCCATGCTGTGGCAGCATGCCACATACAAAATAGGGGAAGATTGGAACAGATGTTAGCTCAGGGCCAATCTTCCTCACCAAAAAAAAAAGTTAAAATGGTAAATTTCATCTTATATGTATCATAATAAAAAATCATATTACGAACTTGAACAGAAACTTTACAAATTATATGTATATTTTCTAGTACATGTTCAAATAAACACAAAAGCATTAAAACATAAAAGCTAATGAGTATGCCATCTGAAATGATCTCATAAACCCTTTCTGGTACCCTTTAAGAAACATTGGCTTAAGGGTTCGATAAGGTGTCATTGACTAGAGACTCTGGTTCATGTTTCAGCTGTATCACTTATTATCTGTGTGATCTTAACTTTTCTAAATCTAAGATTTGTTATTGCAAAATCTGTATAATATGAGTACCTGTGTCACAGGTTTCGTTTGAGGGTTAAATGTAATAATTTACATAATACTTTTAGAAGGCAGGCTGGCACTTAATAAGCTCTCAGGAAGTGATAGCTACTTTTATTTTATAATTTTAATTATCAGTGACAACTTAGTCTATGGGCCAAAGAGGGGGAGGACAGTTGATCATAAGCCCTTAATTGCACATTTTCTGGAAATTTTGCCCCTTCAAAATTTTGCCCACGGGAACACTGAGGGAAAATTTGCAGTTCAATATTAATGAATGTGTCTTTTTTTTTTTTTTTTAAAGATTTTATTTATTTATTTTTTCCCCCCAAAGCCCCAGTAGATAGTTGTATGTCATAGCTGCACATCCTTCTAGTTGCTGTATGTGGGACGCGGCCTCAGCATGGCCAGAGAAGCAGCGCGTCGGTGCGAGCCCGGGATCCGAACCAGGGTCGCCAGCAGTGGAGCGCGCTCACTTAACCACTAAGGCACGGGGCCGGCCCGAATGTGTCTTTTTTTTAATCTGCTGACATCGGGGGTTATTTGAATCAAGATTCAATTTGGACAATATAGAAAATCCCACATTAGGCCCTTTAGCTAAGGAAGGTGTGGATATTTCCAAGCACAGAACTCCAGGCAAGCCTTGTAGACAGGAGGATATCAAGAGTCTGCAGACCACCTGGCTTCCTTAGGGGAGAGGTAATCTGCTAATCTTAAATCCAGTCAGACTGAGAAGACCTGACCTAGGCGCCCAGCAGTGCAGATAGTGAGACCAGAAGCCTCCAGAGAAAGGCCTTGCTCTCTAAGCAGTGAGCTTCTCCCACCACATCCCCACGATATTTCCCTCAAGACATCTGAGAGACTCCACGACTGTGGCTCAAACAGCTGTGTGGGTCCTACTTTTCCTCCATGGTGAGAGGAGCCTGCGGAAAGCAACGTCCCTATCCAGACAAACTGTCCGTTCCCTCCTTAGGTCAGGCAGAAGTGAGTTTGGTGGAAAATAATTTCAGAGATTGAGATCATTTTCTCCCTTCCTGCAAAACCCTTTTCCCACTACCCTCTTCTTCTTTGGGCTTTAACATGAGATAAGCTTCCTCAGGCCAATGCTAACAAAAATAAAAATGCCTGAATTAATAAGAGAGTTTATGTGTGTGTGTGAATGTGTGTACGCACACACATTCACACACACACATTCAGTCCATAAGCAGATGCTCAAATAGAAGAGTAAGGAAAATTGACGTCACTGAAACTAAGTCTGCTGAGATAGTATTGATTAACATGTTTCCAAAAGCTTTAGACAGGAAGGCAGAGAAGCAGAGAAATCCTTACCTCCTGGTTGGTATGAAGTGGCAGCAGTACTTCAGTGTTTTATTTAGCTGCTTGGGCTCCTCTGTGATCTGGCCAGCCTGTCTTGTGGCTTTTCAGATAAATCTGAGCCCCAGGACAAGGCTACACATAGAAGGGAGATAAACAGCAGCTAATGAAGCAACCTGCAGGGCTACATATATAAGGGAGATAAACAGCAGCTAATGATGTAATCTGTGGGCATGTTGTTGCAAAGATAAATTAGAAACCAAGATGAAAACTGAAAGTAGAAAGTGCAACTAAAGTTGGCAGAGTTCCTGCTTGTGGAAAATGACACTTAAACAGTAATAGCTTTTTTTGTTCTCTTTTGAAAACTGATTGAGAAGAGGCTGGTGAAAAGCAGTTTTATTGATGTGCTAACTCCTCTCTCAGGTTCTACAAGACCTTGTAGAAGCCTTGGAGCTAGGACATGCCAGTTATGTAGAGTCTACTGAACCCAGAGCCAGGGAGACCTGTGAAAATTGGCCCCCTGATCCATGCCTCTGTTTGCTCAACTGGAAACAGAGACTGTTCTTTTTATGGTATAAAGTTCTGCAAATCACTAAACTGGAGTCTTAACCCAAATTTGCTCCAATTCTCTGAGAGGTTGTATCTTTCTGATTTTTCTGCCCCCTGCGTACTCCTCTGGAGACTGGTCAGTGACAATAAGAGGCCTGTAACCTCTTCGTTATTCGTAGGAACAGAGAAAACATACGTGCTAGCATCTTGAGACTTCAAACCAAACATGATTGGCCTAAATGAAAGTACTTTCTTATTTTCAGTGCTCTCTATTGTAGTCATCTGAAGTGTTCTTACTCACCATATGTGATTATTATACCTATGCAAGAGCATTTTCCTGTCCCGTTGGCACCCATGGCACCCAGGCTTGGCCTACCTCAACCTGGCCCATGTAATCTTCTGTAGTCGTGGTGTTTGTGGTAAGAGATTGAGAAGAATAAGTGCTGAGACTGGGGTCCTGAGTACAGGTTAGGCTCCTGTTACTGGTGTCTGCCAAGCTCCTGTTTCTCCCTACTTGTCATTGGAAATTGCCCCATTCTCCTGATACGTGTAGTAAATTGATGATTCCCCAGCAGCTTTTGCAAAGCAAACTTATCCCCAACCACAGTTAATTTAATCAAGGGGAAGCCCCTTATTGAGAGGAGACAATTAGATTTGCTTCCCTGGGTAGTGTTGGACCTGTAACATATATTTTTGGATATCATTGTCAGCCATGTTTTTCCATGTGGCCTGAAAATAATAAAAACAGAGGAAGCTTATTCACAGAGTAGATTATCAAGTGGTTGAGCCAAGAGAAACAGAGAATTTGAGATGAGTTGGAAGTTTCTGTTGATGCCTTTTGTTCAGAGCTTCATCATCAAGAATCAAGGGGCAAGGACCAAGTGCAGTGTCTTATGGGGTTTCCTGGTGAGTACTGAGTTGTATGAAAACAGGTTACCAATGACTAGACTCAGACCGTATTGAGGGATGTGCCTAGTGCTACAGAAACCCAGTGACTGGCCAGGATTTGCAACCAGATCTACCTCATACCCTAAAGGAGAGCTTCATCCTATTATTGCCTATCCTGGAGGTTGGTGGCTGGATTCTGGATGACTATGCAGAGAAGGGAGAATTGTGGGAGATAGCCCCATCTTCGCTTAGCCTCCTATATGTGTATAGAAGCACTCTGCTATAAAATATAAAACCTACTCTTAATTAAGTGACCAGAATTCTGTTTGTTACTTTTGGTGTAAGCTTGACAGAAATAAACAATTCCACTGGTTCAGGAGGTAGGCTAAATACCAAGAAAGGCTCTTAATCCCTGATCACTTGGGCAGGAGGTAAAAGCAAGGTGCTGTGGTTTGGCTTAGGGAGTCCTCTATTGGTCTCTCATGGACACCCATGTTCTGAGTCAAATTCCAACTCAACCTGAGCTATAGTTCATGGAACTTGAGTTTGAATAACTAACAACTACCTGGCACATAGAGCATGCAAATAAGAGGAGACTGTTATTATTAATATTTTCAGTCAAGTTGAAATAATGCTTTCTTTATAAAAGGCTACCCATACTTTGTCATAAAATAAGAAACAGAAGGGGAGCAGCTGCAAGAATGTTTTCCTCTTAGAAACACTTAATCGGACTCATTCCCAGATCTGAAAAGTTTCTGCTCAATCCCTCCCGCCCAGCTCATCTCCCATCACAGACCTAACCAATTCTATGTTTCCACTGAGACATCCTGAACTAGTCAGAAAGTCTGCACAAATAAAAATTTCTGAATAAATAAGACAGGTTTATCCATGTATTCTGATCAATGTTCAGGCTATAAGCAAATGCTGAAATAAACGAATTAGAAAACCTCTCCTTTTTGGGAGCAAGATGTCTTTGGAATTCTTATGGAGAAAAGTAGTTGGATTTTGTAATTTTCCAGTGCACTAGATAGAATGCAGAAAAGCAGACAAAATGTTTATCTTGTCATTGCTGTGAATTTGGCAGTGGTCCTGGTTCTGTGGGGCTCTGGCTCAGGCTGATTAGGTTTTCAGAATCTTGCCCATTGTCTCCTTGGGATAAACAGAGCCACGAGGGACACAAGACAAAACAGCATTCAAGAGAGAGGAAACAGCCAACAAAGTGCACTCACACTTGACTGTGTGTGTGCATGTGTGTGTGTGCGTGTGTGTGTTGTGTGTTTACAGTTAGGAAAGAAAACAAGAACTGGAGAAAGTGAAACTTTTAGAAAATGAATTTTCAGCACTCGGCTCTAAGTCCATTCCCTGGAGTCCAGCTTTCTGAGTGACTGACCAGCTATATAAGCTACTTCACCTCTGTGAGCCTCTGTTTCCTCAGCTGATAAACAAGTGATTTGGAACAGATGAGCCAATCTCAACCCTCACTGCATACCAGAAAAATCTAGGGAGCTTTTAAGAATAATGCTAACTAGGCCCCTTCCCAGACCAATTGAATACATCCCTGGGAGTGGACCCCCAGTCTCAGTATTACAAAGAAATCCTCAGGTGATTTTGATGTACACCTGGGCTGGACCCAGGGCCTAGCTGATCCCTGGTGTCTATTGTATGACCCAAATTCTCTGACTGGTGATCTGGGACTCAACCCCTGGACCTACTTCCCTTTCTGTGAGGCCCAGAATCAGTATCTTCATTACTCTGTGCCTTGTTTCCCCACCTGTATAGTGAGCAGTTAACTCCTCAGTCTCTTCTTGATGCACAGGATGGCATGGAAAAAGAATGGAACTCTGAGTGTTTTGACCACTGTATAAAAGTATGCTCTTGGTTTTTGAGATTATTCCTAAATACTTTCAATCACATCCATGGAGATAGACTCCAAGACACCAGAAGTCCTTTGTTGTGAACGGTCCGATGGTTTTCACATCTTCTCATGGGTCTTCAAGGGTCCACTCAGCCCACCTTGACCCATAGTTTGGCTTACTGCAACATATTCAAGTGCTAACTGAATTTTTTATCATTTCCTTTTTTATGTTTCAGGCTTATTTTGAAATAATTATAGACTCACAGGAAGTTGCAGGAAGAGTCCTGTGTACCTTTCACCCAGCACCCCCAATAATGTCATCTTTTTTTGTGTGTGTGTGTGAGGAATATCAGTCCTGAGCTAACATCCTTGCCAATCCTCCTCTTTTTTTTTGCTGAGGAAGACCGGCCCTGAGCTAACATCTATTGCCACTCCGCCTCCTTTTTTTTTTTCCCTTTTTCTCCCCAAAGCCCCAGTAGATAGTTGTATGTCATAGTTGCACATCCTTCTAGTTGCTGTATGTGGGATGCCACCTCAGCATGGCAGGACAAGCGGTGCGTTGGTGCGCGCCTGGGATCCGAACCCAGGCTGCCAGTAGCGGAGCGCGCACACTTAACCACTAAGCCACGGGGTTGGCCCCAATGACATCTTATATGGCTATTATAATATGAAAACCAGGAAAATGACACTGGTATTGTGTGTATATTTTAAGGATAAAATATATCATGAGTTCATCTTACAAGTTCAAGTTGACATGATTTTAACTTAACCTAATTGATCTCACAACTATGTATCTTTCCTCCTGAACTGAATCTCACTTTTCTAAGTGATACCAACATTCATATGATCTATTCCACATATACTAACAATAGTCTCAGACTAATAAAATCAACAAAACACCTTCAAAATGACTGCTGAGTTGAGTTTAACATTCTTTTTGCTTTCTTTTTATCCATAAGATATATCCTTCTAAAGATGTAGAGTCAAATTACAGTGTATAAAAAATCATTCGGAATACTTCTTTATGTGGTTTTATCCTCTATCTCACATATATTTTGGTTTATTTGCCTCATTTTGATTTACTGTTTATATATTGCTTTTTGACCTTTTTATCCTAGCATTGTATTATGAACATTGTCAAATGTAGGGAAAAGTTGAGAGAATTTTACAGTGAACACTGATATACTCACTACCTAGGTTCTACAGTTAACATTTTACTATATTTCCTTTATTATGTATCTTTTCATCCATCATTTTCTCTATCCATCAATTTATCTTGCTTTGTTGTTATTGCATAAGAGGCAATCAGTACAATTAATTGATAAAACATTTCAGCATGCATATTATTACAACTTGAGTCATACCTTGTTTACCAGGAAAAGACAATTTCCTGCCCCAGTAGTTTTCTTCAAGTTAAATCTAATAAATCTGTTCTTTGTTTAGTATCAACAAAGTTGTAAAGGGTGTTACTTGTGTGTTCCTCAGGTGTCATCTAAATGACACACTCAAACTCCCCTGCCCCCCACCATTGGTCAATTCCAGCTCTGAGGTATCAAGGTCACATAAGTCAACCTTATACTTCCATGGCCTGTAGAAGTAGGCCAAATCTCTCCCCAGTATTTTTTAAAATTCTTGGTAGGGTTTATATTTACATGGATTCCTCTGCCTCATGCCTTCAGTTGCTATGTAAGTTGCATCTGTGTTTTTCTACCTTTGTCAACAGGTAACTTCCCCAAGTTACTTAAAGGAAGTTTCAACAGCACTTAACAGTTCCTCAAAGTTATTTTTCAGGTCTGTTCCAGGAAGATGAGCAACCACCAGCCACCCTGAACTGCTCCAAAACCCAACGCAAGAATGACGCCTATGGAGATGGGCTGAGAAGTGCCTAAAAAGTTACGTTTACTTCATTTTAATGCTAAGATCTCCACCCCAGGAGGAGCTTAAGCCTTATTAGCATAACATGCAATGTATGTGAAAGCATGATTTCAAACTATGCCTGTGTGAGCTTTATCTACCTCTATATGTGATGATGAAACGTCCCTCTTGAATATTCATTCTCCACCTGAAATAAAAGACACCTGCTTTCCCTTGCTCAAAGAGTCACAGCTTTGGAAAAGTTTCCCCCGTGGTCTCCTTATGTGCTGCAAATAAAATTTACTTTGTGTGACAACTTCTTCTGGTGAAGGCTTTGATTTCAACTCACCAAGAAGCAAACTCACTTTGGTTCGGTAACACTTCCACCGACATAGAATACACATCTTTTTAAAATTTCACAAATAAAATACACTCAAAGACTCCATTAGCTAATGAAGTTGTTAACTTTACTGAATATTGTTGTAGAAAATATTTTAGGGAAAAAAAGGAGAAGATTCTATCACACACCACATAGCAAGCACTTAAAAACTGCATTGAGGTATTTATGTCGTTCTCAGCTTGCACATCCTGAACAGTTTTTTCCCCACTTTGTCTTTCCCCAATACATTTTAACATTTCTTCAGTGTGAATGAATGTCCAGCAATGTGTTTGGAACATGTAGATCCTTTGTGGTTGCCAGTAGCTTGAAAAATGTAAACTAAAAATTTGAATTTATTCTGAGGTCATAGACTTGGCTCACTGACCAGAAGGTCTGGGCTACAGTAAGGCCTTGGGAAATAGAATCCAGGGCTGGAACTGCAGTAAACTCCTGAAGCCCTCTTCATCTCTCTAACTCTGTCTTTCCTTGTTTGCTTTGGTCTTAGATCTTATAGGCCAGCCCCCCTACCCACATGAAAAAGGAAACTTCCTTTTTTTTAAAATTGGGAGCGGGTAGTAGTTTCAGTTATGCTCCATATAGAGAATGTGTATGTGCACAAATATGTAGGAATGCACCTATGTGAGCCCAAGAATCAGTGTGTGTGTGTGTGTGTGTGTGTGTGTGTAGAGATGTGTGATGCATGTGTATATGAGCAACCCGTGTTCTTGGTTCAGAATAACTGTCTCTGGGAATTCATGCTTTGAGTGTGTGAACCAACCGGCAGGAATGTCTTTGGACTAATGTGTGGATGTCCTATGGGTGCATGCCTGCAGATGTACAGGTGTGTGCACACAGCTGTACTGGCATGTGACCCTGTGTGCTGGGCCCAGGAGAAGGCTAAAACCTTCACTGTTTAAGACACCTCTGTTCAGGAGACCAGCTAGACTGAGGATGGAAGCTGCTCATTCCAAATGCAAAGCCTTAGGGAAAAGGGTTCTTGTTGGTCTAGCAGATGATAGGTGCCCCAAACAGCATTAATCAGCTTTGGTCAATGAGTACAGGGATGTGTTATAGAAGAGTGAATGCTCCTCTCATAGACATGGAAGGAAGGGGAAAGAAAGAGGGGGGTCAGCAGGCAGCAGAGTATGTGTTGTATCAAACTATTTTGTATCAGCATGTTATATATTTCTGAAGGCAGCAATCAGGAAAGTTTTCTGTTATATTTAGTTATGAACACATTAAACAGGTATGGTGAGCTCTACTTCAAAACATGGTATTCAAGTCAGCAGCCAGCCTCAGAGCCTTCTCATAGCACACCAAGGCTTCACTCACTTCCCCTTTCAATTTGTGGATGAGTCCAAGGAGGCTGAAACTTTCCACAACACATACATTCCGATGAACATATTTCTAAAGCATTGAAAAGTTTTTTGCTGATATAAGGAATATTTTTCTATTTTTAGACCACTGAAATAATAGGTAATTGCTTTATCTTCAGATTTCCTGTGAAATTCTTGGAAACGACCATACTGGTAATGAATCTCTTGCAGTAGATGATCGTTAGTGATCTTCATGTGCAACACTTGCTGAAAAGTGTCCTCAGCCTTTCTGTGGTCGCCTATTTCTGCATACATTTGAGCCAGGGAAACATAAGCCAACTCAAATGTGGGCCTTAGTGTCAAAGTCTTTTGAAATTCCTCTATAGCCAAGCCAACCAATTTGTTGACGTTTTCTCTAGCCTGTCCTTCAGGCTGCATGTTTGTAGCTTTCTTTATTTTGATCATTTGTGCTTTATAGCAAAGCCCTATCTGGTGATGCAGGAAGGCAGAGGAGGGTGTTGCCCTCAAGGCCTCTTGTAAGAGCTGGAGAGCTTTATCTAGAGAGCCTTTTCTTCAGTAAAACTTGGCCGCATATCGAAGGACATAGGTCTGCGAGGACATGTTGGTCCGTGCTTCTTCAATGTACTTTTCTCCTTCAGCTTCTTGTCCTACATCCTGAAGCTTCAGGGCAAGGAGAGTCTTAATATACGCATCTTCTGGATTTAGCCTGATGGCCTGTTTTAGTGGGTTCAGACAAAATTCCTCACTACTGTGTGGTGCTCCATTAAGGCCGTCCAGGCGATAGGCGGTGATTGCATACCCAGTGCTGAATTCAGGGTTTTCGGGGTCCCCTTCCAGAGCCTTTTCAAAGCAGGCTTTGGCCCATTTATAATTCTTCCCTCCACATTTCAGCAAGGCCCATCCTTCCTCACAGTCCAGGTGAGGACAGTCCATCCTATAGCTGGAGGAATTTGCAAACTTCTTGCAAGTGTTCTCCACCTTGTCTACATAAGCCTGGGCTTCTGCTAGTCTGCCCATGTGGTAGTACAGCCAGGCATAGTTGCCCCAGGTAACCAGACTTCTCATGCCTGATTGGTCGGCATGTTCTCGCTGGATTAAGTCTTCAGCCTCTCTCAGGCTCTTCAGGGCTTCCTCATTCTGGCCTTTCAGGTGTTTCACATAGGCCAGTAGGTTGTGTATTCCCACATTGTATTTGGTGTCCAGGAACTCAATCTCATCCAAGATCCTGTTTTCTAAGTCAGGCATTTCAGTGTCTTCAATTAGCAAATCCCATGTAAAGTGACATCTCAATTGACGCAGGATATCTTCAGTGAGATTCCCATTTGATTCCTCACTAGAAAAATAGACAACAATTATTTGTACTTTTTAGGAGCATTCAGTCTAATGGAAATGAAGCCAGCATGTTGAGTAGTGAACTATTACCCCATTCTGTCCATGCCTTCATTATTTTTAGCCTCCCATGGTTCTATGGTCATGTCATTAAGACAAGAGTGCAGGTTGATAAAAACCCTGAGGAAATGCGAATCACTTCATGGTGCCAACAGGTAGGCTATGTGAACTCTAAAAGGCAACCCAAACGACATTAATTCTGCTAATGTGAAAATAATTTCAGCAACATCCTCAACCTTGCAAAACTCTCTCTCCTGCTGCCCCTTCTCAACATTGTAGTATATCACTAATGCTCTCAGAAGAAATGTGGAGAGAGTGTTCACAGAAGGGTAGATTTCTTACTCATCATTTCCATGGTCCTAACATGGAAACATATTTTGGTTTCTTCACTGCCCAGAAAGTGTCCTGAGCCAAATAGTGTTCCAAATGATGGGTTTCTTGAATCCTTAAGCTAGGATGGAGAATGTGGTAGAGCAACCTGCCTCCTACGCCCGTATGAACTTACTCAACCAATCCCAGAGACTGAAGAATGGGTGGAACCATCTCACAATGAGGGACTTACTGCATGGGAACAGAAGTAGGGGGATGGGTGAACATTGCATGAGGTCAGATGGGTCTATGCCAAGAAATAGTAAGTCCCACTTTTGTAATTCAGTGACCCTGATATCAGGTAACCCTGCAACCTAGTGGATGACAGGTATTCAAAATCCCAACAATTTTAGTGTTCTCTCAGCAACCCATAAGGAAGAAAGAATAATAGTAGGTCAGCAGGACCCAAAGTTTTCTTTCCGATATTTCACCCTCCTGTGAAGTAGAGCTGAAGTCCTATTCCCCCTATAAGAATAGGGGAGAAGAAAAATAAATGTCTGTAATACTACAAAAAGTGGTCCTCACATGCTATGTAGGTATATTTGCCTCTGTGTCCTCAAACAATTATCTTACCTTCCATACTTGACATTTCTTCTACCCATTAGGCCCAAGGAAAGATCCCAAAGGGGACCCTTATGAAATTTTCTTTATCCCAATATCTAGCAAAAACCAATTTTTATATAAATCCTACCATCCTGACTCACAAAGTCTAACCATAATCTAATCACAAAAACAGAGTATGAAACATTCTCTTATGAAAATAAAGAGAAAATTCACAAAATCCAGATGAGCAGAAGATTCTCTGGCTTACTACTGCCTCTGTGAATACAGCTGGCAGCTCAATATAGCCTCTCATTTCCTTCCAAGTTTCCTCCTCAAAAAACTCCACACTCCCCCAAGCCCTTCTCCCCCCGGGCTCAGAGGTAACATTTTGATCTGAGTTTGTTCTTGCTTCAGGGCATGACTGCGTGGTTGACTGCTGAGGTGAGGAGATCCAGTGACCTTCCTCTTCATCAGCAACGATACCCCAGAAATATTATCCCATGAAACCTCCGTGTGTGTGTGTGTGTGTGTGTGTGTGTGTGTGTGTTGTGGGGGAGGGAGTGAGATCAAGAGGGAATAAAATCAATATTGTTCCAAGAATGCTCACTGAGAACAGTCAGCATCCCAAAAGGAGATGGAATCAGGAAGAGCTTTTGACACAAATGCTCCCCTTCTGCCCATTGCTGTCCATGGTATGATGAGGACAGACATTGCTCAGGGAAGATCACCCACACAGGGTGACATGACCTGAGGGAGCTGCTAAAACATTTAAGGATAAACCACTCCAGGTTCTCTAAATATGTACCCCAATCTCTGCCCAGCCAAAGCATTTGTGAGAAGTAGAAAGAGCCCCTCCTTCTTCTAGATGATCTAATGGGGGCCAGGGTGCCATGCACTAATGAGTGGAACGTATACTGGATTTCAGCCCTGATCGAGACTGCAGAACTTCAAGTGCATAACTTGAACAATCTTACAGCGCTGCCCTGCCAACCTGCCAGAAGAGAATTATTGTTCTTTCTATCATTCTTTCTTATAAGTAGTCATTCATAAACATGTGTCATCCTTCGCCTTCTTGGCTTGGGCCCTGGGAAGACTATGGGGTAGAATGTCAGCACAGAGGTATCCTCACTCTCTAAAATAGGAATGCTGAGAACCAGAAGTCCTCCTGTTACTTAGTGAGCACACAGAGTGTATTGTTAATAGTAGTATGTGTTAGTATGAAATTACAAGTATGTGCATGTGTGTGGCGACCTCACCCCCAGATGACCTACGTATGTGGCAGATACCTGTTAGTCCTCAGGCATTTCCCTGGGTCCTTTTCCCTTAAGCTATTTTGGTCAGTGAGCATGAGTGGAAGGAGGAGCTCAATCTGCTTCTCTGTGCCTGTTACCCTGGGATCAGGGTATTTTAATGTGGATTTTATTCAGCCTAGGATACTCCAGAGCCCCCTTAGGCTGCCTTAGGTCAGGAGGTTCCACAAACATAACTACAGACCACTGCACAATCTCTTGGGGAGCCTTGCTATTACAGCTGGGGGAGAGGGAGGGCTTGCAGACATCGCTAACGTCATTTTATGACCAGCAGTCTATATATTAAAAAGAGAGACCCAGAGACTCTTGTAAATTTCATTGCAATCTCTCGCTTGCAATCTCTTTGCGAGACAGGTGTAGATGTGTGCTGGAGAAGGAATCCTGAAGGAGGGCCCCTTTTACTATGCTCTTCTTCTCCCATTGACTGTAATGTCAGATGGGAGAACTCTAGTAGGTGAGAACCCTTGAGCAGAACATATTTTCTGCAGTTCACCAGTTCTAACCAAACCAGGAAAGAAAGGAACATATTCTTTTTGGAACAAACACACCACAACCCTGATAAGATTTCTTGTTTCCTGATGTCTAGGACTGTGGCTTTTCAAATTTTAGCGTGCATCATGGTGACCTGGAAGACTTGTAACACACAGATTGATGGGTTTCAGTCAGCAGGACTAGGGTGGGGCCTATGAATCTGCATTTCTAACAAGTTCACGGGTGATGCTGATGCTCCTGGTCAGGGGACCACCCTTGGACAACAGTTGAGTTAGTAGAAAACAAATTTCATAGTGATCACAATTTCATCGTTTCATGGTAATCGCAAGACTTTGCATCAATAAGAACAGAAAAATTGCCATCATTATACACAACTTCTTGGGGCCGGCCTGGTGGCGTAGCGGTTAAGTTGCATGCTCTGCTGCTGTGGCCCGGGGCTCGGATCCTGGGCGCACACCAATGCACTGCTTGTCAAGCCATAATGTGGCAGTGTACCAGATAAAGTGGAGGAAGATGGGCATGGATGTTAGCCCAGGGCCAGTCTTCCTCAGCAAAAAAAGGAGGATTGGCGACGGATGTTAGCTCGGGGCTGATCTTCCTCAGGAGAAAAAAAAAAACAGCTTCTTGTCCTTCCCACTTGGTTTTAATAAATGTTGCCTGGAAGGATCTAGATGCTGTCACCCTGACTGGGCCCCATGCTGGCCTCCCCTCCAGGCTCTGACCTGTGTCCTCTGATGAACATTCTATAAGTGTCTCCTGGAAATTGTTACTGCGTTAGAAAATGCTACATAAATGACATCTCCTTTGGAATTAAGACAGCTCTCTCATTCATTCTCTTAAGAGCACTGTTGCTCTCACTAAGAAGCTCTGGAATAGGACAGTTAGGAAAGGTGCCTCTGTGGGTATATTCTTATCTTGTCCATCAGATCTACTTTCCTGCATTCTTCACTGAGCTGCGTGTTCGCAGAAGCTGACAGTATGGGTTTCATTAACTGGACCTTTTTGATTTTTGACTTTCTTCTGGGTTTGGCCCACTGGGAGCCACCAGCCTGAAGTTAGAGTGCAGAAGGAGGTGAAGGTCATGGTGTTAATTCCTAAGCTCCCACTGTGCCAGGGTTTGGGTTGTCAGAGGTTGAGTTTTTCACCAAAGGCCTCTTGAGAAGCCCTTCCCCTACAGCTACAGCTGAGGGTCTCTCAGAGTCTGGTGACTGCTCCCTCTTCTTGCCCTGTAGGCCTGGTGGAGTCATGTTACCACTGTTGTTAGGCCCTGGGTCCAGCACTGTCTTCTGATTTCCCTGAACTCTGCCCACAACCATCTTCAGTAGCCCTCTTTCAATCGCCTTATTGAAGTCTCCTCAGTTACCAAGTTACGGGTGTCAGTCAGAGTCAGAATCGTGAGTGAGTCAGCTCCCTTGGGAGGAGGGCTGCCTAAGAACTGGCCTTTAAGGAGAGTTTTGGAATTTCAAAATGCACAGAAACAAAGTCAACAAAGCAGAGAAAGTCATTACCTCAAGGAGCCATGAGACAGCAGGTGCTGGGTAGTGCTTTGGTTCAGGCAGGGAGGCTGCTCTAAGATTTGTCTATAGAGTTCTAGGGCTTCTCAAATAAGCATGGCATTTATATGAGGGTGCTCTCCCCAGACGATTTTGCAAACCCTCCAGACCCGGTGAAATTGGCAGGGCTCCATCTGGGTGAAGATGAAACTTAGAGAGAGGGCTGTCTTACTTTGATTAGGAGAACATGCTCAGTTTGGGCAGCTGAGAGGATGTTTGTGAGAGACACTTTTGATATGCAAATTCCCTGCTGGAGTCCATGTGGCCTAGGAGATAGGGAATACCTGGACCTTAGGATGACATTCAGTGTTGTAGAAAGATCAGTGGAGGACAGAGAGGTAAATATCTGTGGAACATGTCAGACTCTTGTCAAATTTGTAACTATCACAATGTACCCAGCCATGTGGTTCCAGGGACATCTGCAGTGGAAACTCCTGGGACCAGGGTGAGAGGTTTATGCTTAAAGGAATACTGTAGAGAACCATTGTCAGTCTGTGGGAAAACGAGGTTTCAGATGGTTAGGTCTTCTTCTGTGGGGCTCTGTTAGACAAAGTGGCTCCCTCTGGGTTTGGGGATATTGGTCTGTGGGAAAAGTCTCACGTTGTTTACATCCTCTAGTATCATTTGCATTACTGCCAACTCAGATCATGATGGAGCCTGCTCAAGCATATTGACTATTTTGATGGTCTTCACTGTTCAACATCTGTGGTTCAAACAACCATGTTTCACTGGTCAGTAGAGGGACAAATGCATATATTCAGAGAATGTGATGG